CTCTCCATACTCCATTTTAGGAAATCGACGCGCGATTTGAACGATATGCCGTTCGTCAGGGCGTGATAGCTTATGGGGACACCCTTCACGGGGTAAAGATACGGTGGTTTGATGTTCTTCCCATCTCTCTAGAGTCCCATACACCGCGCTTCTAGAGACGCGAAAGTTCCGCGCGATTTCAGTCTTTGGTTTCCCATCTTCAGCAGCCTGAACAATTCCAACTCTTTAAGCGGCCGATAACTCCTTATTAGGCCCTCGATTACCACTTATTTTTGTGCCAAAAGACCTCATTTTGGTAAAGTTATTGATTGTCAAAGTAAGGGGTGGGTGTAGAGATATTCAGGTGAGAATGGGTTCTGTGCGCAGACTTTTGGCTTAGTAGTTAGTACAGGCTTGCGGTTGATAGGTTATCCTATCTAGGGCACGCCGTCCTCATAAAGTCTTCATGAAATCTAACCCGATTTATCTCTAGCGCTCATAAATGCTCTCATAAATACTAGCCCAATTAGGTATAGCATTACCAAATGTGGGTGCCTTAGGCACTCACATCGGTATTTGTGGATTCTACCCATTCGTAAAGCTCTCTCCAACTGTATATAGTCTTGTAATCAACATTTTCATCGCTTAAATAACCAAACCATAGCAGGAATGGACGTGTATATACATAGCTTCAATCCTCAATTCTTCATAAAGAAGGCAGGTTACATGACTCATCATGATGAATCAGCAATGCACGAGCCCATTACTGCCACCTTTTATGAGATTCCTCCGTAATTCATCATTTAATCCAGATGAGCTCATTTGGACTGCCCTAATCCTATCAAGCCGATTAGATAATCGGGCGATCAGCTGATCGCTGGATTATCAGAACCGATCATGATAATTCTTGGTATTATTACGGGGGGGGTCCTCTATTTCGCTAAGCTACGTCCGGGCCATATTATTTCTTTAGGATCAAGATTCGATCAAGGGGTTAACTGGTTAACGAGGAAACCGCGCCAAGGCTATCAAAGACTATCCTGATCGTGGCTTGATAATTATCAGCTGATCGGGCGATTATCTGATAGGCCGATCAAGGTTACCTCAGCTAGCTCAGGCTATCTCTCAGAGGAGTCTAGCCTTTTTTGGACAGTCACGTTACTTAAACTACTCCTCTGATAGATAGCCTGAGGACGCTGTCCATCAGCCGCACTGCTCTGCTCTTACTTTCTAGTGTTTTGTGTGTGTGTCTGTCCGTTTGGCAAAATCACAATCCATCAATAACTACATCAAAACACGACCTGTGTACTCCAAAATTCAATCAATTGTGTATTAAAGTATGCTCTATCTCGTAATTGATTTTTTTTTTACATGCCCATGCTTCTGTCTGGTGAAAAACGCTAATATGTGGTGAACTAGACTGCGCTGAAATCGTCG